ATGTATGGAGTTGTATCAATACACCACACTTGGTTTGGAACTGCAAATCACTCAATGCTTGTTACTAACTCCTTCATTTGCAACATGTAGAGCCATGATCCTGTTAAAGGTTTCGGCAAAGGGTCCTTAAAGTTTTGTTTTTTAAGGTTGCTCTGAGAACTGCCTTAAAGAAACTTAGTTAGAACAATTCCCGACTTCTAGCTCCAAAAATAAATAAATAAATAAGTAATGGTCATAAATTCACTGACATGCAAAGTGAATACAACTGGGTCTCCACAAAAACTTGATCTACGTTAATTTTCCATTAGGGATATCATTAGGGGCATAACAAGCCTAGGAGTGGAAGATGGTATACTTAGGTCTCTGGAAGTCAACATGTTAAGAGTATCAATCACTTCATCTATGACAGCAGCACAGCAAATGTTTGTGTTTAGGCTATATCTAGCTCCTATATATGGCAGTTGAATTAACTAACAAGCATGTATGTATATATAAAACAATGATCACCTTACTTACATGAAGATAGTTCATGGTAGTATTCACTTCCACATGGCCACGACATCGACCATCCAGCTCCATCAGCTACTTCTTCTTCTTCTTCCCTGTTAGAGATCACTTCGCATTTTCATCCAAGCGCTCCATAGATATGCACATCCAAGGGCACAACTACCTTCATCATCTCTCCTTAGAGTTGCAGTACTAGTGCATGAGGTTGGGGACAACCCTCCTTGTCAGACCAAACGAGACCCGTGATTCTTTTGTAAGCATAGAATTTAGTCGTAGAAACCCTCAACATCCTTTTAGAGAGAGAGAGAGTGAGAGAGAGAGAGAGAGAGAGAAGCAGATGAGGAGTGAGGATTATGATCATTTTGAGCAAAAGATTTGGTGGGAAGGCTGTGGCAGAGGCGCAGAGGTATCAAGAAAGGCAATTGCGGTTGTTGCTTTGGGTAAAGGGGACAGCCTAGGGTTAGTAGCATTTTCAGATGGGTTGAGTAGGGTGAGCCCCCAATGATATGGCAAAAGGAATCCATTATTTATTTGATGTGTGGGCGTACATAATTCAGAGAGAGAGAGAGAGAGAGAGAGATTTTTGTTGAATAAAGAATAGATCACAGGGACAAGTGAACAGTGAATGCACTGCAAGAAGGCTGCACTGCGAGCTGATATTTGGTACAACCCACTTAGCTGGGTTATTCTTATTCTCATCTAATTCATTTTTGTGACGTATTCAACTATATTTAAGTTTATAGATGATTTGCTTAAATTAACCCTTTTAAATTTAATTTACTCCCTTTTAATTAACTTGACAATTATATATTTTGGGTTGAACTGAAACAATTTGAATTATTTAAAGTCGATTTAGGATGATCTAAATTGCAGCCCTTTCCCGCTTCTTTTTTGTCGTTGTTGGAGCTCCATGCACCCTTAGATTAAGTAGAAATAGGAGGGAACGATGAAGGGGAGGTTTGACTATTATTAGGGTTAAGTGGGTTGGCGAGTTAATCAATTATACGCTTCTGTCTTGGTTCAAATATTTGCCCCACTCACTTGGTGCATGTGTTAGCCTGGTTATGAGAAATGAGCCTTCTAACTGCACCTTGTTTTGGAGCATGGATTAATTGGTTCACACCTCCCCAAGTCCCCGCCAAGAGAAACGGTAGACCTTTACAATATGTCTTCTTTTTAACCAAGGGAGGGGGAAGATCAAACTGATACTCTTGGAAGATTTTCTTCTTACCCTTTTATACTATTTAATTAACCTTATGTGCGATAAATTTGTGTTAAAATTTAGAATTTTTTAATTTTTATAATAATTTTTTTTTATAAATTCATTATCAACTTTTTAAAAAATATATCTATTGAGTGTCATTGTTTATATCTTATTCTTCTTCCTTCACTTTTTTTGATGTGAGATTCATAACATAATTTATCACCAACTGAATCAATGCAAATCCACTCTTGACGTCTATATGTAGTAAGGGATGCTTCTCTATTACTTTATGAATTTTTTTGAGCTGTCCAATTAGATGAAGATTAGAAGGCTACAAAATCTGTGTAAAAACTGACAAACCAACACCAGTAACCCACTACAAACCCAGATAGAAGGCACCCATTAACCGAAACTACACAAAATCCACAAGATCAAAAGTATCTGAAAATTGAATTATAATAATCTTACTTCCCAAAAATGAAATTTCAGAGTAGATTAAAGAAAATTCTCTTCTTTTTTTGACTTTTTGACAGGGGTTATGAAAATGGCTATTCTACATAATGATGGCTCTGGTTCGAAGTGTTTAGTAATTCGTTTTGCTTTGTTTGCTTCCTCTTGTTGAGAATCAGTGGATAGGGAAAGATTTTTCCAACCAAAATCCATGAAATCATTCAAAAAAATTTGCTTATGGCCGACGTTTATACAGAGATAATTGATGATCATCTTTACTGCAAATGGCACATAGTACTTCCATTATTGGCACAAAGACAAAAATATCCTTGTCTAATTTCTATTTACAAGACTTAATCCTTCTTTCCTTGTCATATAAAAAGACTGGAGGTGGGGTTGGTTGAGCCTCAGCGCCTCATTATTTCTTTTAGATATAATTCACTTGAAGATATGAATGATTATTTTAACATTTTATAAGTTTCTCCATTTTAGTAAATTTGGATATTTCAATTTAAAAATAAACGATTTTAGAATAATCATTTCGAATATTTTATAATTTTTTTAAACAAATTTAAATATTTTAAAATAATATAAATTTAATGATTCAAATTATATATATTTTAATCTGTTTTCTATATGATATAAACACATCCCTAGTCCCTTCCACACCAACTTAATGCTTTGGTTCATGGTATTGAAGGGAAGAAACGAAAATAAAAAATTGAATGTAGTTGAATATATATAATTAAATAAAAAGTACACCTATCTTAGATCTATTAATTTTCTTTACATCTGTCTAAATTATCCAAAAGCATAACAAAAAGAAAATGTGATCTCTTACTTTAAACCCAATAATTACCGAATTTATCTTTCTTTACCCTAAATCAAGAAATTTAACATTCGTTAATTCCACGGCTTTAAAGCTCTTAATGCCACTCCCTAATATTTTCAATCACTCCCACATAAATGCATTACTTATCAACTATTTTATTTTTCAGAAAATAAAATTGACCAACAACACGTAAAATCTGATAAACAGTTTAATGCAATAATTTTTATTAACATAAATAGATTTTTCAAAAAGAATAGTTTTCAGAAGAGATAATGTTTTCAAAAATGATAAACTTAAATAACATTTTACATAAATCTTTTTAGATGAATAACATAAATATATTCTGATCGAAATATATCTTTATATAAAAGATTACACTCTATATATAAACTTGTATGCACAAGGCATTATACAACCATCTTAATCTACAAATCAACTTTCACACCTACCAAAAAAAAAAACAAAAAAAAACAAATTGAGTTAATCTATGAGGCTTTATAGGGTACTTGGGTGAACAAAGGCACATGTCCATCATCCGCGAATAGTTAGACATTTTCAACATCTACTTCATAATTAAAATTCGGATTTTGGGGATTTTATTATCCCTTTCTCGAGTTAATAGAAGCAAGTATACACATCATTCCTCTTCTCTATTTCCGATAAGACCAAAAAGATGGGAAAAAAAAAACCTATATATAGTTGGAAAATATTAAATAGCATCATAGTACAATGTGGCATAATAAACTAATTATACTTTTGAGATGTAGAAATATTCCAATATGTCATGTAATGTATAAATAACCCCTTCCCATTTTAAAGTAACTCCTTGTCGCGTTATAATGCAACTACCCCTCATCTACAATGGTCTGTCAAGCATAAAAAATGATATCTTCTCTCTCTCTTTTTTAGTGAAGAAATCACATCTTCACTACCAGCAGCGGCAAATCTAATTTGCGGATGGTAAGCGGTAAGCTCTACCCCCTGTGAGATGTCCAAATAAGAGGGGCTTCCGTGTAATTTATGCAGTTGTGCCTAGAGATTGCAAGAGTTTGCCCCCATAAAACAGAAAAATTACACAATTGCCCAACTAATTTTAAGAATTTTCCCTATATGCTTTATGAAATATTTGGAATTTTTATATATGCAGCTAGATTTCTATGCCACATAATGTGACAAGATGCTGAGAATGACGAACTGCTAAACTATCCATTGTATACACGTTATAAATGCACATCTCATGAAGAATGCAAAGGCAAAAATGTTGAAGCTTTTCTGCAGAGTACAGACTTGCCAGGAATATGTAAAATGCACCTAGTACAACCTTGAAAAAGGCAAAAGAGCCCAGCATATGAGGTTGAGATGAAAAAGAAAATTTGAAAATGGGGGTGACAACATCAGCATCTGCTTTAGATAGTATACTACTACATATTCCAGGGGTTGGTTCCCTTGTGCATCTAAATCCCATAAAAAGAAAAGAAAAAAGGGCACATGGAATCCGAGGCACGAAGTTGATGATGCAGAGATAACCATTACAGGATTGCTTTCCCCGGACAAAAATTTGAGTGCTCTAATATGTATCAGAATGCCAGAGTTTAACGGAAAAGCAGAAAACTAAATAAATCCCATCTCGTAACTACAGGATCGATTTCAGTTCCCAATAATTGAATTAATTAAAATTATGCCAAAAGAGCTCTTTCCATCATAGAAACTAGAACTGCAGGAATGAAGTTCCAAGTTCATGCACCAAAATAAGCAGTTGAACATCAGATCATGAGGTTCAAGCCGATAATATTCTTCTACACCCTTGTTGTCATTTTATGGATTCAAAACTGCAGTTTCATTGGAAACCTGATGAAGCCCGGGGCTTTCCCTTAATAGAATTGAGGTGCTGGGCTACAAAAATTACTCCCATTACAATTATAAGACAACCCACCAGTGTGCTAAAGAAAAGTGCACCTGGGTGCCTGGCTTGAACAAATCCATACACCCCATTAGAGGTCACCAGAATTAGGTCAGTGAGCCCATCATTTGAAAAGTCATCACATACCAAGGCATGTGTAGGTGGGGCTGGAAGAACAATGGATGTAAGCAGACTCCCCCCGGAGATAGAACTACAGCTTCTTGGTCACCTCCAGCAAGGATGAACTCTTGATTATCATGCATGCGCAAGGGGAATGCCTTCAGGGTGGGGACCACTTTGCCAGCTTCCATCATCCCTGATGGCGATGGAAGGTTCGACCAACTAGCACCAGTGACAAGCTGCCATTGCCAGACAGCTTCATGGCCGTGCAAGCCAGGAGAGTATGATGTTACCTAAAAGACAAAATTAGGTTCCTTAGTATTTGGTCCCTCAGATTTAATCAATTTCAACATTATTCAATGTGTATAGATGCATAGGAAAATCTCAATGCCAAAAAACAAGCTACACTGTTTCTCGACACAAATGATAATGATTAGTTGTCCAGTGGTTGGCAGTTCATTTTTTGGCATCTTCTAAGCCCACTATATAAAATTTTCTGTTAGGATTTTATACAATTTGTGTGAAAGCTTCATGTTTGGGGGCATCTGGATAGAAAGATAGGATATAGAATGATAGGATAAAACTGGATAAATTTATCCAGGTTGACCAGTATTTATCACACGTTTAGTTGAATAGATAACAAACGGAATAAAATTTTGGCTAGTATCTTATCCCATGTTAGGTTAATGTGAAATTAAAGATAAAATTCTGAATTTATCAAAAAGCTCTTTGTTATAATATGAGTTAAAAAAATAAAAACAAATACGATAGAGAGAGAGGGGACGGGGAGGGGCGGACCCAAACTGCAAGTCTTCGCTCTCTGCAAATCGCCAGTCTCGTCTCTCCCTTTCAATTCAAATACGAACGGCCTCCTAGCCTTTCTTCTCTCTGTGCGCCGTGCTTCCTTCTCTTCTGTCTCTGTATCCGGTCTCGTCTCTGTATATAGCCCTTCCTTTTCAACAAAAGCAAAGGAAAAAAAAAAATGAAGAAGGGGATGGACTTGCATTGCCAGTCCTCTCGCTGTAGGTTTTCAGTTTTATAGACATGTAGCAGTAATGTCATCTTCAATCTCTCTCTCTCTCTCTCTCTCTCTCTCTCATATGGAGACTGTTTTCCACTCAATCCTCCCTGTCTCACAGATTACTAAAATGCACAGCACAACTTCTCACTCTCTCTCCCCACGATCATTCACCTGGAAACTCTCAAGATTTAGGGCAAGATAGAAATCTCATGTCGCTCGAGTAAACTAAACTTTTTCTGCGTCATCATTTTTCCCTTTTAGATAGTATCTACAAGCTTTACATCCCAAGCTTCCCTCTCTCTCTGCCAAGAGAGCTGAAGCTAAGCCTCGATCGGAAATCAATTCCAAATGTTTCCTCCTAGCAACAGCCAGCTTAATCTCTTCACATATACAAACTCAAGTGGAAATTAAGAAAACCGTAATCTAACCCAAGAAAAGCCTACCCCTTACTTTGCTATCACTTCCTTCTCCAATCCTCTACAATGGCCACCCACTACTTCTCATTCCCTTTATGCCTCATCAAGATTTTAAAAATTATGCAGTCGGAGATCGGAAGCGAGGAGAGAACACTTGTTTCACGATGGAGAAGGAGAAGAACGGCGATGATCATTTCACAAAATTATGTGAGGTGTTTTGGCCATTTCCAATTGAATAGTAAAGGCATTTATGTCCAATTACAAAATATTTAAAACGCTAATATGGAGAATAAATTTTATCCCACCCCTCATGGCCTATAAGCTTCTCACATTTCTACTGATATATATTCTTATCAATATTTTATCTCATCCTCTTACATGCCATCCAAACACATGATAAGATATCTTGCCTTATTATGCTATCCGAACGCCCCCTTAGAAGTACCATATGGGATAGATGGTCAAGGACTTTAATGAAATACTGAGCTGATTGAAAAAAGGCAGAGAAATCAATCTCATCTATGTCAACAAAGACTAAGAAGACAGTCCACTATGGATATGGCGCTGGAGATCCACGTAGGAGCCATTCACCAAAAATTAATCAATCTCACTAGCTGTGGCAGCAGTGACACTCACATGATAATGTCTCTCAGCAGCTCTGTTCTATAAAGAAATGTTTCAACAAAGAATCAGTTCTTGTAACTCTGTATATCATTTTCAGATAAATGTACTATAGCTGTTAATCTATCTAGGATATAGGCACTCTATTGCTCGCCATGGCAACCAGTAATTTTCAAAAGGTAAAGACACTCAAAAGTTTACCCAAAAAATTTGATATGCAACACAATTTCCAAGTCAATGAAAACAATTCACATTGATAGAAAGAAGATAATATTCAGAAAAGGTGGAGCTCATCAACTATTTTACTTGAAATTAAAGGTATTAGAGGTTTTATTCCATGGTTAGCAGATAAGAAAGTGCTGAGGGAAATTAAATACATGAATTTCAATCTTAGGTTTTGCACCACCTACCATAGGTGACAAGTAGTTTGTACAAGGTATTTGAATTATTCCAACACTAACTTTTATGTACTTTAGTCCATGTTCACACCATTTTTTAGAATATTTGTAGTAATTTTTTCTTGGTGATGTTCCATCTCAAGAAATATAGGTGATGCAGATTGGGAAGAGTCCAAATCTTAAGAATTTAGAGATGTTAGTATCTCACTATTTTTGGAGTTTGTGTATTGGAATTTTATAGTTTTAGTATTATATAAAATTTCCAAGGTGAGCCTTGGATCCATAGTAACATTGCTCCATCAAGACTGAAGGTAACAGGTTCAAGTCATGTAAACTGCCTCTCTGCAAAAGCTAAGGGCACAGCCCTGTACATTAGACAACCCTCCCCCAACTCTCACAGGGCAGAGAGGTTCCTGGCCTGTAGATACATTTTTTATTTATTTATGATTTCTTTCAGATAATTATTACGTCAGGATTAGGATGTCTTTTTGGAATTTATCTGCTAGCGGACACCTTCTAAGAGGCAAACATTAAATCAACGGTAATGTCGATCTTTTGTCACCAGTATGTCACAGATTGGAGTCATGGAAAAAATGGCCTCTTTATAGATCAAGGGTAAGTCTCTGTATGATCGACGCCTCTCCCCCAACCCTTATGAAGAAAGAAACCTCATGCCTAAGAATGTCTTTTCTATCTATTTAGGATTCCTTTTAATATTATTTAGGACTTATTTTCCAATTCATCTTTGAATTAGGTATTACCTTAGAGAACAGATTATTTTATTTAATTTCAATTCTAGTAGGATAAAGAGATTATCCAGTACTCCATTTTCAGAATAAATCAGAGTTAATTATTATTATTATTATTATTATTCACAATAGTAGTAATTTGTGAACTCCTCTGCCAATGAGCTTGGAGGACCCCTTGCAAGGGTAGCCACTCTTCCCTTTCCCCACGCTCTGCTCCTTTCTCTTCTTTCTACATCAACAGGTCTACCCTAAAAGTAAATGATGCAGGAAAAAATCCAGAGCAGAAGCATACCTCCCCTCTATTTGTTAAAAAGATAACATCACCATGGCTTCCCCTATGATGCCAATGACCATCACTTCTAGGGATGAGGATGGGTGTTGCAACTTCCAAAGAACTTATATCTGTATGTTGACCAAAACTTCTGGAGAAATCTCCATGTTGAAAGAAGTTGAAGTAGGAATGATGACAGATAGAAGCATTGAAAAGTTGTTCTCGCACTGGTACACCCGATGTTGCAACAGCCCAACAGGGTCGCAGCACTTCCATGGATCCACTTACAACAGTCTGCTCAGCACCATTACCCCCAACAGCCTACAGAAGAAGGAAGATCATATTGAACGCTACAACCATTGTATTGAGTACAATATGTTAAATCTGCTTTTGATGTTCAATTTTCAAAATTACTTTGTAATTTGTAGAGGGAGAGTGCATCATAAAACAGAGAGATCAGAAATAGAACATAATGGGTCTGCAGATATTGTTAGAAAAACAAGGACAATTAAAGAGCTGTCATAGGGATTTTGGAAAACTTGGTACACAGACAGCCACCAGTGCAGTTTACTTCAGCACATGGATAGTATAGAGATGAAATGACATGTCAGAGAGAGAGAGAGAGAAGAAGAAGAAGAAAAGAAAAAAATAAATAACTATTCACCTGAACATGATCTAGAACCCCATCTCCATTGATATCAGCATGAAGGCCACCTTGTTGAAGATGAAGCTGCACAAAATCATTGCAATGCCCTATATTTGTTAATTGGATGTGACCCAAATTATAGATAAGCTAAAATATGAACCTTATCAACATATAGTAAAGATGGAGAACCACTAAAGAAAATGAAGTGTAAGCCCCTCAATAATTTCAGCAAGCATAATAATGTTAATGACAAAAAAAGGCATACCATCATGATCCATTCAAAAGTACACTCTAAATCCAGGCACTTTACAAGCCTACCTTACAGCCATTAGGCAACTTCCTTCAAATAAAACAACCACCTAAGTTCCCTAGCCTTCATAGCACAAGCTCTAAAAATTAAAGGCAAGATTCCAAATTCATTATAACTAAATGACATGTTTAAGAGAATTGAGAAATGAATTTTTAGGAACTCCGGACAGCAGCTTGTCACCCTTCAGTCTCAGACAACAAGATCTCCAGTCCACTTCTATGAATAAAACCAACATTTTAATATACCATCAATGGCAAAAGAAAAATAAAAACCTAATGGAGGCAAGAAGAATTGATATCATAGATGATATGGTGATTAACAGAATAACATAGAGCAAGCAAATGTCCTATATTCGAGTTTCATTGCCCACAAGTTTAAAATTTCCACATGTTAGCCTTATTATGAGTAACAAGTATGGCCACATGTGAGGAGGCATATTAAGTAATAAATAATTCAACTATTCCTCTCTCTCCAAGCTACAGTTTTTGGATGAGAAGGCGATAACAGTATAACATTTCTACTCTCCCCCTATTCTCATATCAATAATAGTATAGAGCTTTGAATATCTTTGGGCTTACACACAAAAACCTACAGTGTACACTACAGTGTACTTTTCTGTCATTCTAATAAAACATAATTCTACTCAGACAGCATATCTTTATCTCCCATTTTCAACTTCAGTCCAATGTCACTCCAGCATTCCCGCTTAGTCACCTTTCAATTAATGTATCAAAGAAACTCCCCAGTCATTCTTAGTGGGGGTGGCAATTCATATGTCTTAATTGTGTCCATCTCATACTTCTTATCAAATTAAAACAGCTGATAAAAACTTTACCAAAATTAATAATGATTCATTCACACTAGAAATAAGATGAAACATGTCAAATTTGCATCAAGCATGTTTTTACCATGTATTGTCATGTTATTATTGTGCTTCTCTCAAAAAAATTCTCGTCATATTAAAACTGATATAATCCTCCCTAATTTTAATGATACAACACTACCATAAAGCTGCTGATTTCATAAATTCTAAATTATTAGGGCAATTAATGCAGTCCGTGGACAATACAAGAATATGGATTCAAGACATGGATGAGAAGAGATCCTATGGACTATAGAGTATGACAAGCACTAGGACTTTATACATATTTTATACACTGTTTCACATAGTTAAAGATTTGTTGCAAGTCCCAGTTTCCAAATTTTTAAGTTTAGAATTCCTTGTAACTAAGTTACATTTAGTCTACATAAAATGTTACTCTTCTTATTAAAATGGGAAACATGTTATAAATTATTTGCGAACCTCTAGAAGCATTCTTGGAGCAGTCTAATAGTGATACAATTTTAATCCTAGTTAGGATACCTAGACATTAATCCTTTTCTGTTTCTTCTAAGGTTGATTGCAACAACCCTTTTCAGCCTTCCAAGTCCCAACATACACAGATTTGTTTCTCAAGCATTCAAAACAACAACTACTGCCTTGTGTTGTTCTTGGGAGTAGTTCACTGGATGCTGCTAGTCAGCCCCTAAATTTCTATCCTTGCTTAATTGCAAATCCAAACTCCTGATCTTTTCTGTTAATGCAACCCATAAAAAGCCTGTACTTTTTTTTCATCGCCTGTAGCTGCAAAATCTATCAATTTCAGCTCTAAATGCAGAGTCCCCCACTATTGCATGTCAACAATTTTGAGACTATTGCATGTCAACAATTTTGAGACCATTCCTTGTTGGGGATGCTCTCCGCACACTTCGTCTGGACAGCTACCACAAAATATGGTCTTCTGGCTGTTGTATCAGATCCCCAAAAAAGTTCACCAAAAGCATAACACTCGTGGAAAAAAATAGAAAATAGGCCTGTATCTGAATTTTTTACTGATAGTCATAAAATAAATCATATACATATATAGAATGTACAGATCAATAATCAATTGTATTTCTTTACATTGCAACGCACAAAATGGTTGACAGATTAACATCTACCTTACATACAGTGCGGCCAGATGCCAGATGAACAGCTTCTATCCCTTCCTCTTGGTGAGCCACAACAACATTAGGAACCCACCACAGCTGGGTATGATTTGTTATGGTAGGAATATAAGGCAATGGCTGCATCAGCAAATTAAGAGAAATGTAATTTTCAATGCAAACTAGCCAGATCAAAATGGTTATGATACTCTTAATAAACAACAGATGCAGTGTAAGTAATGAGAACAAGAGAAAAAGAATTTTTTATAATTTATTTATTTTATTTTATTTTTTTTTTTGAGGGGTGGGGCTCCAAGGGTTTGTTGTACCTAGAGTTTAATTCAAGTGAAAAATCTGATGTTTAAACTTGAGTTAGAAACAGGGATTTTCACTTCCACTAAAATTTACAAAATTTATTCCAGAGTCAATGCAGCTTAACAGAAGCAGATAGGATTTGAATCTAATACTACTAACAGAATCCTGCTCACTCAAGTAAATTACAACTAAACTAAATGTTGTTCTATCAACTTCCACCTCTTTTCAAGGAAATGGCTTGAACTCTGCCTGTTAAGTGCATAACACTTGATTTCTATGAGGTTTTCCATGTGGCATAATATGTTCTACATGCTTAAGATTCAAAGGTATAACTATACATAGTAATGGTTGGCAAATATCACCTTCTTGGATTTCGAAGAACCTGCAAATTTCGCAGCTTTTCCAATAAGGTTGGGAATTTTTTTTAGTTGAGTCCTTCCCAGGAGGATGGTTTTCCTCAGGTTTGTGGAAAGGGTTATTTGTAGTTTTTCCCACTTGTTTTCTTCGACACTTTCCTTTTATGCCGCTTGAAATGTGCCAGCTTTAACAAAGTATCGTCCGCCTATCCTGTTTATAAAGTATTGAAGGGTGAACTACAACCAAAACCGAGTAAATACAAATATAGACAACATAGCCACAGAAGAAAGCCAACATTCATATTGTACTTACCCAGTGATGAGGCATAACTCCAAGTATTGATTCTCTAAATTCCCTGCATTCAAACTGCAGAGTTTTCTGTATCAGTAACATTAACTAGCTTAAGATGTCACTAAGTTTGAAGTGCATGCTACCAGACGAATGAATTCCCCAAGATATGGAGTAGCAACATATGCAGTGAAGAAAAAAAATAAGAAATGCATATACAAGTACCTAATACTGCATGAATATTAATATGAATGGATGCAAGCACTTATATACATAAATCATAAAGCATATGTTTATTGTCTAAAGCTCACCTTTCATTTGATACCTTCTTCTTTTTAAAAAGACCAGTCAATTCAATAATAGCATCTTCAAGATTAAGTAAAATTAAAACCGAAACCTTTTTAAGATCCCTTATATAGATAGACATTGTTGCCAGATTTCAGCAAGATCAATAAACATGCATCCTTTAAATATTTGCAGAAGGCCCTCCCTAAAATATCTTCAACCCAATTTCCTTATATGCTGAGCATTCTCTCAATTTGCTGAGTTGTCACTAGCCATGCAGGTTGTGTCCTGTTCAAAATTTAACAGCTAGATTTGCACAATCTAAGTGTGCTTCAACAACAAAGACTCTCAACACCAGAAAGAAAATTTTTAAATTTTTACCAATTGCGTGGTGTTTGTATAAGATCATGCCTTGGCACAAAGGTAAAGGTTGCTCCATTTTAAACTAGGCATCATTGGTTTGAATCATGAAAACTTCCCTATTCATATAGGTGTAGGGCTGCTTACATCAGGCCCACTCCAAATCCTAGAGACCCATGTGGCCCTTGTGCATAGGACTGCCTGTCTTCAGTGCAGTATTCTCTGCATGTAAAGTGGAGTACATATGTACGGCTGACTGAAGGCTTCAGGAGGTTTGAATATTTTGCTTTGAGGCAAAACTCATATTAAAGCTATCAATAGAGGCAACTAAACCTAACTAACAAATTTGGTATCTAAAATCTCAGGCAAAGAAATCACAGCATGCAACCAATTTCTTTCATTCGGTGTGGTATTCTGATTGCCACAGCTAAAACTTCATGCACAAAAGAACTTAGCTTGTAAAATTTTAACTAAAAAATATTTGTTTGCTTGAATTTCCTTGTCAGAATTACTAATGACCATCTCAGGGCGATGGTTAAGGTAGCATCTATTAAAGATAAATTAGAGAAACTAAGCTCTGATGGCTTGTAAATGTGTAACGAACTATAAGCACTCCACTTAGGAAAAGTGACACTATTTTGATTAAAGACAATAGAAGCAAAGATAGGCCAAGACTAACTTGGCTTGAACAAGCGAGGAAAGATCTAGATTATTTTGGTTTAATCATGTTAAATTGTTAACCACCATCTAAAGGCTTAAGCTTGTAGACAGAATAGTAACTTAATTATTTATTACTTAACACACCCCTTACGTGTGGTCTGACTTTTGACATGGAAACTAAACTAGCAGGCAGTGAAACTTGAACAAGGGATCTTTGCTTGCTCTAGTATGATGTTAAATTGTTAACCACCATCTCATCTAAAAGTTTAAACTTGTAGAAAGAATAGTAACTCAATTATTTATTACTTAACAAACTCTATATATAGCCCGTGACAGAATGGAATACTGATGAAGAACCCATGTAGGCAAGGAAAGGCTTAGTTGAGTTGAGTTGCTTTGTTATAATATTAAGCAATATATTAAAATTTTAGAGCTAGATTAACTGACAAATCATTACAAGGTGGCTAGATAACAAAAAGGAAATACTGGAGCAACTAATCCTATCCTTGAATTAAATAACTACGCATATAAAACATGGTGAAAACAGACCATACATTATGGTGTATAAACAAAGTTGAATAAGCAAATGGTAGCCTAAATGGTTCTTTTTTCAATTTTATAAAGACTCAAATGCGCATAGGCCCAAATGCCAACTCCAACTAAGAAACTTGTACCACACCTCTGGTTTTGAAGCTAGAAATAGTAAGTCCCTGGTAAGCCCATGGTAGAAAAGTAAAGCAATATGTGAAGATGATTCTAAAACCATGTTTATAAAGGCTGGTGCTTACAAATAATACACAAATTGATACTCAGCTGATGATCACAGCATATATAGCATGGAATCCTACAATTATTTGAAACATACCTCTCCAGGATGACGACTATTTAAAGCATGAACATCAAGCTTGTAATTATGCTGCGGAACCATCTGTGATGCATCTGAAGAATATGCTTCAATATTCTATATCCAAGAAATGAAGGTTAGCAAACAAGAGACAAAATTTCTTGTAGAATTACAAAGGCAAAAATAAAAATTTTTTGCAGGTCCCGCACAAAGTTTATTCAAGTTTTAGCATTTTTAACATTAAAGTTTATCAGAATCACATAGATGTTTTTACCACATATTATTTGACACTCTGATCTTCAAACATATTTGATTTATGTACTAAGATTGTTACTAATTGTTAAGTTGTCAATCAAACAGTTATCAATAATTTCTTTATATAATTATCAACTTTAGAATGAAGACAAAAAGTATATATTTTAATTACTAAAAAATAAAATATTATTTATCTTTTTATATCTTTTTGATTTATAAAATCAATATTAAAAACTAAATTAATAGATTTATTTGATTAAAGTGATATTAAGGAAAATAATTTCGTATTTGTATCTAATGAAAAAAATAAAATTTTCCATTGAAATTTGTAATAATAGCAATACTTATTTTACAACTACAAATTAAAAATTTGTAAAAGAAAAAAACCAATTATTTCAAATCTATCTTATCTGAAAAAGAGGTTTCAAAAGAATAATTTATATAAGTGATAGGATGATTAATAAATAAAATAATTATAACCAATAAATATAGCGATTAAATTTGCAATTACAAGGTCAAGGCTATTAATGTCATTATCAAATAAGATGAGGGAAAACTTGCCGATCAGAAGTTTCACAAGTTAACACACTTTTATATAGTATAAACATAGATGATTATTAAGATTTTTTGTTCATCTTCTGAAAGCAACGTCACAGTAATAAAGGATCACTTCGCCCACCAGCCAACCATCCCCCCCCCCCCCCCCCCCCCGCGCAGAGAGAGAGAGAGAGAGAGAGAGATTCAAATTGATAGATTGATCATTTTAGGTCTCTAACTCTGCAAGTGATTTAAGTACTCATGCCAGATAATATGTGGACAATAAGAACAGATAAACATCTAATGAAACATAATAGCCTAATATTTGTATCTCAATCACTATATATTTCCTTTTGCATACTTTTTATCATGGTTAATTGCTCTTGCTCTATTTCCTCCAAATGAATTATGCAATCACTATTTAGTTGATGCTTCCAAATTCAAAAAGATTCGTTTCAACACAAAATAGACTATAAAAATCAACATTCACACAAAAAAATAAAATAAAATAAAAAATGTGAAAAAAAAGTACTTTATTATGATGTGTTTTCATACTCATCCAATTTTTGAACTTATTTTGGAAGTGCCAGTGTTTCCTAAACTTTGCAGGGACAAATTATTATGTGTACCAGTCTCTTCACTTGACCACAACAATAACTTCCCATGATAAAGCACAATGTTGTGAGAAAGTAGGCAATCATAGATTCATAATACATGAGCATAATTTTAGAATATGCTGCTAATGGAAAGCAAGAATGCTTTGTCTGTTTCTTTTCCACTGATAAGAAAATTAGGGAACTCCTTGATTTAGGGGACCTGATTAGGAAAATTGAAGACACACAGCACAGACAGAAACAAGAAAATAAAAACAGTTACCTCATTCTTTCTGCTCCATCGAAGTGTCCCACTTCTTCCAGCAAATGCATAAAATGCAAAATGGCGCAAATCAACTGTTCCAGAATTCTCGGGAGCCTATTTGGAACAGAAACGTAAACCATGAACTGTTAGATCATGGAAGAATGGTAATATTACTTATTGCTTCATTGTTAATGCACTCAAGATAAGGATTTCTTCTTAAATAGCTGACAAACATCATGAAGTGGGGGAGGTGGATTTTACATTTAACTATTTCTCAAAGGCAGTTAAAGAGGAGAAGAATGCTGTTTCACAGTGCACTATTTTCTTCTACTTAATGTCAAAGAATAATAATAATAATAATAAATGAAACAGTTGAATGTTATATATGCAAATAGCAAATTGGTGAACTGGATACAAACTGAGTGATCACTTTGAATGCCTAAATAATACAAGAATAAAACATTTGAGAAATTTCATATATAGGATTTATATGCAAACTAAAAGAAATTTGAAGCAATCTGCCAGGCCACCACATGTGAAGTGAAAGGCAAGGAAGTTGCCAGAGGGTTAGACATATATATTTCAGGGAAAGTCAGAGCAGAAATCTGAAAAATCTACGGGGTATATAACTGCTAATATCAAGGGCAAAGTAAGCTGGTTTCCGCATGGTTCCAAACACTCCAAATGAAAATAAAAGACAGCTAAATTCCTCAAATATGAAGTCCTTACTTCTTTCTCACTAGCACTTCTTCTGTGCTGCTCAACATTTTTTGCCACCATCCCAATTTCCTCAAAGGGATCCACGTACATCTGAAATAGTAACAAAAAAATTACAAAATAAATAAAGATGAATGACATTAGATTCTTTTCAAGCATCATACACTGAGCATGTAATAGCATTTCTTGTGAAACAGTGTACATGCTACTGATATGGAAAACAGTCTTAAGTTGAAATCATGGTGAAGACAAAATCACACTGGCACGTCTGTCTAACATAACCTCATAATGAACCTTGAAAAACCACCTTGATAACATAGACCACCAATGCTCAATCCTAAACCGGAACCTTCCCCAATTTCCATCAGATTAACTTATGAAAGTTCTTCAAGGTTTGATAAAGGCTATGGTAGGCTTTTTTTTTTTTTTTTTTTAATTTTTAAAATCTTTTAGGAGGTGGGGGCGTGTGTGTTTGGGGGGGGGGGGGGGTAATACGCTCATCTAGAAGTCTAGTTATATTTTATATGTATATTATAAGTAGTTATAACATGCACCCATATGTTTAACAAAGGCAGATCAAAGACGAGGCAAGCCACTGACATGACAATCTCAGACAGCCATGCATTTGGCCCTAGTGAATCATCAGTCAAA